CCAATTTCCTATCCGGAATGCTTTCAGGACCTATATTTCCATGTCTGCCTGGAGTAATTGGTTTATTAGACCATGAAAAAAGCAAGATCCTCCGAGCTACGCTCTTCAAGTCTGACTGCATTAGATTCAGGCAAGCCCTGAACAACCCGAAACTGTTGGCGGTCACGGTCCTCCTTGCTTTTTATTTCCGGTGAATTCTCTGCATGTGGGCTAAGACGACTTACGGAGTCGTCACCTGGACGCACACTTTTGCTGTCGACTGACTGAAAGGATGGTTCAAGAGAAAAAAAACTGCTGTCTGTGAAATAACGGTAGTCCGAAATGGGATTAGTAAAACTGCATCGGATATTTTCAGGCTCCATTCCTTCTCATAAAACTGCGACTGGATTTTTCACTGATAAAGCCCATCGGTCACCTAGCAATAAAACTGCTGTTATGGTTCCTGCTATTCGCTCCTGTTTCTTTGGTTTTTCTGCTCATCAGCTTCTTTCCTCAGGTTATTTATTGCTTAGTATTTGGTCCTCGCTTCAAGCCGTAAGTAATTATACATGAAAACTTCAAAATATCCATGCATTTGCGTACTTATGTCCTGTGTCACCTTGAGGTATCCTGGTTTTCTTAAACTTAAGCCTCCAACGGCCGTTGATTTCGGACGTAAGCGATTTAGACACGGGAATGCGTAAATGAAACTTTTTTGCAGAATGGTTCCGTCGGCCATAGAGCAATTGGTCAAAAAATTTTATGTGAGTTGCGCCGGCGTTTGACCCTCTTGTTGAGTGTAAATTCCAAGAAACCGTGTTTGGGCGTTATCCCCAGTCATTGAACGACCCAGAGAATGCCATTAAGAACTTTGATCAAGTAAGATCAACCAGGATAAGTGCATTTTTTACAACTGGCCACTAGTACTAGGTAAGAAATGCCCACAGTTATTTCAGTGTAGTTCATAAAGAGGAGGACACTGTCACGGTAACATCCTGTAAAAAGTCCATAAATATGATTGTGCCGACTGAAAAGGTCGAAACGACAGGAGTTTCCAATGAGAACATCTTATAGGACTTTTGTAGGCTAAGCCCTACTTCTCCAAAAGTTGGTTCGGTTAACACTCTTCAACATACTTGCTATAAGACAAGAGCCAGCGCTTGCTCTTGTGTTATAGCAAGTATTAAGAGCGAATAATGCAGAATTCCACATCTAACAACTAAGAAATGCTGATGTCCAGAGATGGGGGGATATGAAAATGCTTATGAAAGTATGGTTACCTTTTGCTAATTTCAGGCAGCCAACCCAAAATTCACGATTCTCGGGAATGCGAGTTAGCATTGGCCCACCCAGAGAAGCCGTTGGTTAGATATGGAAGTAATGACATGTGTCGTTGAGTAGAGTTACAGATCTAGTGAACTTGCGGAGAAAAGGGAGGTTTCGGTAGTAGTCAGTTAGATATAGCACTAAGGATATGTAATAAGCTATTGTACTTTCTCTAGAATAACTATTTTCCTTTTTATTTTTACGCGATTTTCGCCTTCTTATTTGTTTGTTTTACCTAAGTAACATTATTCATTTACGTCTATTTTTTGATTTTTAAGGTTGCGCGAAATGCGCGCCTTATTAGACTTTATTCGCATGCTGACCAATTTCCAATCTCCTCTCAGGACACCCGACACGCGCGATAAGATGCTAAAAAACTTGGCCCTTATAATTGAACCAGAATTTAGTTTTTTGTGTCAAATAAACGGTTGGGAATTTCCATGGGATTTGCAGGAGGCAATATTCTTTTAGCACCTGACGTATTTTGCAAAGGGACTACTACATACATGAGTTTAGCCAACTATATGTTCTGAAATATTCTTAGGAACATCAGGTTAAGACAAAACTAGATATAAAATTCAGAGGATAATAAAATAGTAGTATAATCTAATCTTCCGCCTTCAGTTGAAGGTTCCAGGGTTTTGAAAAAAATGAACGTGGTAAACAATCAGCCGAAAAACCTGACGAGTAATATCTAGGTTATATTTTTATTGAATCTGCTATCATGCATAGGCTGGCGATAGGGTGTAGTTGGGCTCTTTTAAAGTCAAAAACTTTGAATTTGTGTACACCATATAAATATATGGTGTACACAAATTAACGACTATTATCTTAG